GAAGACCAAGCTGGACCGTGTTTTGTTAGGAGAAACACCCGTCGAAATGCCGGACAAAAAAACCCGACAACTGTATCTCTTCGATCCGGTCGGCGGGTTTGTGTTGCTCTGTGTAGCGGCGGCTCACGGCGGATTACTTCGATCGAGATGGGAGGTGTTATAAGTCTGCCGTATCACCGCGCGGCTTCGGCTTTCTAACCAGACTTCTCTTTTTTTCTTAGTCGACTTCACGGAAGAAAGGGAAAAAACCTAGCTTACAATGAATTCCCAATCCTCTGGGGCTGGAGGGAAGCTTGTGAGGTTAAAGAAACCACGAAAAGAAAGACGAAGAGCTGAAAGGATGGCTAAAATCTCCGGGAAGATGAAAAGGGTCTGGGGGTATCTATTTAATTAAAGTTTAAAGAGGCCATTGTGAGTGGCAGACCGTGTTGTGAGAAGAGGGCCAACTTCCTGGCGTAAACGGTTTTGCCTTTGAAAGTTATACAGCCGCTCTGTCATTAGAGTTATGCAAGATCTTGCGTGCCTTTCTCGCCGTACGGTATTCACGCCGTATGAAGGGACAGAGGATTAATGGGCAATTTAGAATGGTAAATTGCTTAAACATGCATCAAGGCGTTGCGCGAAAGCAAAATCTGATCCAACTGATGAAGTAATGATCAAATATTAAGAAAGCCTCACTATGAAAACGGAGTCGAGTTGGTCATATTTCATTAATGTAACTCATACAGCTCATGTTGGTAGCTTTACCGAGAGTTATGAACTCAGAAATGTACCGCTGAAAAGGATATGGATTGGGCCGGGGCAAGAAAGCACGACACGCTTGAGTGCTGGGGAGCTGCACAAAGTGCATTTTGACAGTCTCGATTTTCCACGCTTCAAATAGGCCCGCGTGAAACTGCGCGGTCACGCCAATGACGCCGTGTGCTATCTTGGGTAGATAGCAAATTTCGCGTGCATTATCATCATCATCATCATCATTGACAGGCACTCGCTACGGTATGCACTATCCAGATGGCACAACTAAGACAACCTTTTGAATATTTAATCACGGACGCTCAAACATTAACGAGCCCGGTTCGGCCCGGCATTTTGGTTCTATGCGATATTAATGCCTGCCCTGAAGTCACCGCGGCATGGTCCCCCGAAAATTCTAGCTCCGAAAAGAGAGTAAAAATGATTGGCTGTTTCGTAGCCATGCCAATAGACTCTGAAACTCGCTGCACTTTTATATCATCTACGGAGCTTCTATATGACTTTTCCCCAACAGTGAATGGTTCAGTTGTGTGGTAAAAGTCTCAAAGGAATGGAACACTCGCAAGGCTTTTCTGTCGATCTCTTAATGATTCATTTCACGCCGAGTTGCACCCCTAATGTGAAGTTGGTTCCTCCTTTTTGGGACAACAGGGGGAACAATGGGCCGTGGACTCCACCCCTCTCCAGGGACGGCAGGTACCAATGGCTCCCCGCTAATCGCTCAGTCCCCCGGTGTCGATGGCCGGATCTTATCCCTCGTGGTCTCATTTTGAAGAGATTAGCGACGCGCACGCCTTTTCATTGATTGGGTAACAGGATAATATAGGATAAGTAAACGAGTGGATGATTCGCACAAAAAACCATTGGCACTCCGCTGGGAAAGTGATCATTCTCAGGGGATGAGACGAGATTATTTTTTTTTACAAAGAGAGGCACAGCTCAAGATACATTGTATTCCTAAACATGACGTGTTTAACAGACCTTTTCAGGGTACATTAGGAGAAGTCAGGCAATTGTCATCCTAGTTAGTAACAAATTTCCAAACTAAAGGCAAAACCTTAATAACATAACGCCAAAACAAGACGTCAACAATCATTCCAAAACTTCTTTTCATCTCACTAAAATGAAAACAGTTCCCGCCATCGTCTATTGAAATGAGAGTTTATACACGCTGTTCAGTGGCAAAGCATCTAACAAAAGACAGTGCTGGCTGGATGGCAACAAATTCCAGCCCTTCCGACCAGCCGTAGCATTCAGTCCCAAAATGAATCCATCATCGGCAATCTGCGACCGACGATTTCTGAAGAGGCGTTTGAAAAATTCAAAAGGCCATTCTGCGTGACCTGTGACCTCAACACCCGTCCTCGAACCCAGGTGCCCCACCAAAGCGCTTTTCCATAAAGGCCGTTTAAGCCGCGCGGCGCGGCGCGAAGATCGCTTCGTTTGCACACTCGTCTTAAAAAAAGTCTCGTCAAAACAGACTCGTAAAAAAAAAATATCAAATAGAAAATGGAAGACGCAGAGAGAATGCTAAAGGTGAAGTCAAACTAGCGGTCATCTACCCCTGAAGGAATGGTTCGAGCTCGGAGAAGACTGTCGCAAAGACAGAGGGGGAAAGTTGGCTGAACCCGTAGCGAAGATCGTCTGGCTAAATTGAATTAATATTAACCATCCGTGGGCACAGGCGGTGACATTGGATGGAAGCTGGCGGTCGCAGACATGCGCGATTAGGACTTTAAATCACAGGAATTGCAATTATGCAGCGATCGGTGGAGGGAGAGATACAGAGAGGGCAACATCTTCGGCTTGACCACAGCTGCGACCAAACGGTTTAATTTCGAAGGTTCCTAGTTGTAAAGGAATCCTTGATAAAAACGCGCATTTACCAAGAGTTATCTTGACTTCTGACTGGCGGTCACAACCTATCTTTTTTTGTAAGATAATTGGTGTTCTTTGTGTGTTTGTTTTTAAGTTCATTGTCCAGTAAAATTATAATTTTCCAAACCAAAATATCATTTGAAATTCACGATTACAAAAAATGTACCTGCACTCCCAAAGCGACTGAATGGTGAATTGATAAACAGATAATATAATAGGAAAAATTCCACACCCACGTCCAATACATTCATGTGTTTTTTTTTCAATAGTTTCCTGCACATTTTGTAGCATTTTTTTCAATAAAAGGAATTTCGAAGCAAACACTAAAAATAAACCTATTGTTCCCTCAACCTTCACCGAGCAATGATCCCGTAACTGGGCCCGGCCTGGTACGGTAGGCACAGTTTACCGCATTTACTTTGTATCATGTTACTTTATCAACACCGCCCCCATGCGTTACGCAACTATTTATTTTTGCTCTCTGGTCTAGCTGTCAAGAAACGAAACGGTGTTGGATTTTCCTTTCAGTTTCAGTTTTTTTGTCTTTCTGTCCACTCAGCAGGAAGGCTCGGACCTACCGGTCGATGCTTATTTTCTCCCCGGTCGGGGCGGGCTGCTTTCAATATTCACCTCACGCTACACCGGCGCAACCTTCCCAAAAGCAAAAAGTTTCAACGCGGTCCACAAAACAACGTAGACGGAAGGAACACAGATGTTGCAGTGTTTTCTTTTTGAGTTCCAATTGGGGGAGAAAAAAGCCACAGAAATTCGTGTAGGCTTTCGAGCGGTATGGACCTCGACAGGTTTGGTTTTGTAAAGCAGCTGGCAACGAATGGTATTTTTTATTTCCTCTCCCCCCCCCCTCTCACAGTAACTGGAAGCAGGCTCGGGTCTCAAGTCGAAGCCAAGGGGTATAGGACGCGCACTGGTTATCAGGAGGAATGCGCCCAGACTCGGCGCGTTTGGGGAGAACTCTACGCCTTTGAAGTCACCGGGACCCTAGGGATGCCCCGGGAGTTGAGCCCGCTCAAGCTAGCTTGAGGGGATGCTGCTTCAGCTTCAAAAAACTTCCCCAAGAGCTTCCCCGTCTGTGACTGGAGGGCCCTCTCCCCCATCTCCATTCATGCATCCCCTGATCCGTTAGGATTACAGCATCGGAGAGGTCAACCTGTGTTTAGACCACGGGGTCCCGCGCGGTATATACCCCCACCCCGGCTATGGGATGAAAGATCTTGGGCCGGGGATCTACAGTCGATAAACTTGAAATAGTCGGCGCGCCGAGTGGGTAGGTGTTGAGAGGCGGCAAATCCCCGCTTAAAACCCTGTGTATGTTTTAAATATTTTGTCAAGGCGAAACGAACTTGATATTCTCAATCTCGGTCGGAAGGGAGGCCTCGGGAAAACTGCGTTCCGACGTTCAAAGACCGGTTACGATATACTGGCCTAAACGATTAGTGATGCTTTCCGCAACATAATACGGATTAATGATAAATTAAACACCAGATATTCCAAATAGGCTAACCCCCAATGTTGAATGCATGATCCAAGGTACCAAAAAGTGCCCGATGGAAAATGAATATTGGTGCCAAACACAATGCACCTCAGGTGTTTATAGTTGCATGTACATGTACATATAGTTTTTTTTTCATGTTTGCAGACACGATAATCGATCTCTGCCCATTCGAGAATGGGTAATGTATTCCCAGCTACGACACCCAGCCTATTTTTATGCGGCCGTTATCCCTGAGGCTTTAGGTGGTTATGTTATTTTTATCTGCACAAGTCTTCCTCCTTTACGGTCGTCAGTGATTTTTGCTCTCGCCCGTAAACCGACCTCACCTGTGCAATTAAAATTCAATCGTCCGGGGTGACGAGAGGGCGATCCAGGGTGTCCGTCTGTGCGACTTAACTGGCTCTTCATGCCACGCTTACCAAGTTACCAAATGCGCATGTGCAATCGATCGTTCGCGCTTGCGTACTTTCCGGATGGGTAGTTTCAGCACGGGGTAAAGTCAGTCTGCGACTTTGAACAAGGATACCATTCCAAAATGTGCTTTGGATCCGTCGTGGCGCGAGTGTTGTCGCTAGCACCGGACCGTTCAGTGTGTGCTTGGCGAACTGTGTTTTGATAACGAGATACAGTTGTGTTGAGTCTCACAACATCGTCATAGAGCAGGCATGGACTGTCTTCGGTTTGAAACTTTTAAAATCAATGTCAGATTCGACAATAATTATTTTGATATATACCCTGTAATCGATTCTTTGACACGACGACCTGAATTTCATGTATACTGTTGGATATTATAATATGTAAACCTATAATTGAAACAGTCTCACAAATTGGGAAATATGAGGAATCGATTCCTTACCTGAATGACCCGCATGTTGAGCCCCGTCTCCTGGGCGAGTTGCTCTCGTATGTGCCTGGTGGGCTTGGGCGTGGCCGCGAAGGCCGCCTTCAGTGTCTCCAGCTGCTTGGCTTTGATCGTGGTCCTGGGGCCCCGCCTCTTGGCTCCAGACACGCCCCCTGTTGACCCCCCAGTCCCGCCCTCGCTGTCTCGGTCCCGCTCGATCTTGATACCGTCGGGGTTGTTATTATTGTTCGTCTCTTTGGTTCTGTCGCCCTCGTCGGTGAGGGAATTGGAGGGGGCCGGGGAGGGTTCCGGCATGTCGTTGTCTATCAGGTCCTCGCTGCCGGAGATCTCGCCCGTCGAGCCGTCGTCCTGACTGCCCGCTAAGCTGGTGTCGCACGGTGTCAGGCCGCCGTAGGAGTCCAATAGATCTGGCACTTGGCCCTTACCTGCAATCACAATCAAACACCAGGAATGATTTTTAAAATGTGCATGACAAAAACAAAACAAGCAAACTCTACTGTTTTTATTGCCAATCGCCAACCAAAACGCCTAAGTCCACTTCAGATGATACGAAAAACAAGAAATCATGCACACAGAGATGGAAAACCTGCTGACAATTCGCTTGAACTAATAATACGGGAAAGCGAAATTCTGAAACTTTGACTTCAAGAGGACGACTTTAACGGCTTTGACTCTTTGTTAAAAGTATGAAACGATTGCAAACCTGTAAAGTATAAAGAAACTCTGAAGCTTCAAAATTCACCTGTTAAATTCCTGGATGAGAAAAGTCTTCTGTCCGAGTTCAAGGCACGACGTATCTTATCGCTGTTAAATTTGAACTTATTGAATTCACAGCTCGGTGCACGCGGGGCCCACTCGCTGCAGAGATATCGCAATTTTTTATTTTTTTTACCGAGATAGGTTGCATTGAGTACAGCTGCATAACATCACAACAACACGGTATTAAAACAGGAGCTTTTTGATATGCTTCGATACGCCAGTTAACTCATCCGATTAAGTATTCAAATAATCCTAATCAAATTCTCCCAAACACGCCGGGTCCTTTTCAAAGCACACCAGTTAATAGCATTCCCCGCATGTTCTGTGTCACTACATTTTCTATGTATAATTGACGAAGTGGTTAGGAGAATTTGCTGAATTGAATCGAAACAACGTCTGACGGAAAACCTTTCCGACGTGCCGTATGAGAGAAGCCAGCAAAAGAAATTCCCCTCGCTAAACTTTTAACAGCCAGAAAATAAAGAAAAGAGAAAGAGTCGCCAATTTCCATCACAAATTAAGCGCTACACCCGTCGGCGAATTTCCGAGGGATAAAAAAAACCCTCTGCACTTCAAAAAAAGACAGGAAGTAATTCACATGCGAGTAACGTGAAATGGGAAACAGTGTTGGTAATCGAAGGGAAATTACATTTTATTCAACAACCCTAATCTATTTTGGCGGGTTAAGTGTGGAGCACAGAGCCACTGATTGCGTTAACTTAAACGCGGCGGCGTGCATGGTTTAGCGTGGCTCGGATCGCGCTCTCTGTATACACGCGTCGTATATATGGGCGGTTGGGAAAGCTCTGTCTCGATTCAACAAAATCAAATGTCGAAGCACAACAACCGTGCTATAGATCAGGGGGTCCTCGGGCAGTTTTACCATGAGCTTGGCTGGTTTGTACTTTGTGTGTGATGTCCGGAGTTGAATGCAGCATAGTGCATTGGCTCTTGCCCGCCCCATCTACCAAAACTGCACGTTCCTTAACCGTATACGCTTTTACCTTTTCTGTACAAATTTTGTTTCCATTCACATGAACATACAGGGAAAGAATGAATTTTGAGATACAAATCGGCAGTATCAGAAACAAGTTTCTCATATGGAAATTAGAAAAATAAGCAACCCAAAGCTTATTCCACTCAGTTTTTTTTGGCAAGTCTACGGAAAAGTAAAGTAAGTATCCCAAGATGCAACGGGAAACTTTCTGGTAGCAGACGATAATTCAATATGCATCGGTTGAAGCGGAAGTAATCTTTCTCGGCTCGAGTTTCGGTAGCCATGGCTTATGTTTCTTCTTGCAGCGTTAAAGGCACATTCCAACTTAACATGGCCGTACGATCACTCAAAAGATATTCTCGCGTTTTTTTCCCACTTGGGGATAGCACGAAAGCGGCGACAACGGTTGATGTGGTGATTATTGGCGAGGACGCCCCCTTGTGAATAATAACTGTTTTCAAATTGGATGCAGACATTTAAAACTAAAACCCAGTCGATAAGAAAATGATAACATTTTTAAAAATTGATACAATTATTATTAAGCGACAATTAGGCCTAAACAGGGGAGACAAAATTATTATCTTTCCATTTTTATTTTAATGTTAAAGGAATAAAAAAATCAATAGGATATAAACGCTTACAACATAAACAAAAATGCGGATTTTATTGTGAGATGAGAGCATCATTTTTGTGTTTAGAAATGGTTCTTGGTAAGGAGCGCCCAAAGTGATTTTTTGTTATGCTCTTCATGTTTTACTATAGTTTCGTTTACACATTTCGGGCCGTTAAAATCGAGGTAAGATACGGGCGGTTGAGCCTATCCGTGTACACGAAGCTATTCACACATTGTCCGGTAAGCCACGCGATAAATGCAATAATTGTCAAAATTATCGGTTTTGCACGTCGCCACGACGCGTGTATTTCACTCCTAGGGATTTCCCTAACAAAGCTTCCACGCGTGTTTTCACCCTTCTTCTTTTCTTTGATCGAGACCAGTTGGTTTTTTTTAAATGATTTTTGCGGGTTTTCAGGCAATTTTGTTTTTTGGTTTCACCCTAGTTCTGCTGGTACAGCGCTAGTTAACTCGAGAGTGTGCTTCTTTTGTCTGCAAGTCGTTAAATTGTAATTCCAGACGCGTGTTACGGAGCCCAAAAAAACCCACCAAAAACCTAATTTGGGCAGAGTTGTAAAACGGCTGAGCGGGTTACGGAGGGAAGCATTACAAACGAAATTGTTTTGAAGTCAACAAGTTCTTTGCCGGTAGACTTCAGTGTGAAATTGTGCTAATGATTGAAATACTTGTTGGTCATGCAACTGCAAGCAATATTCTGATGTGGTCGACCTTGTTATATGTAAATGTACAAGTCAAATCGTATTGACAAAAAGGATACAACAGCCTTCCGGAAGTTTTTTTTTAGAGTAGGGCCCTAAACGATTTTCATATTAGGGTTATAGGGAAACAACAGTGCATGAAGATCAACTAAAACGCGTTGACAAAATGTCACATGTACTTACTTACTTTTAGGTGTTTTCTATATTTGGATATCAATGCAACGAACGATATTAAATTTGAAATACTAAACGATTTTTTTTAACGGGGAAATTTATTATTCGAGCAAAAAGTGACAACAAAATTAAAAGCACCGAATCGAAAGAATCGGTCAACTATTCAAAATATTAAGGTCACAAAATAGGCCTACCCACAATCTTCTCAATTTTCTCACTTAGCTTTTCATTATATTTCTACGGGTGGCAAATCTAATCAACGAAACAGCAGCCATAAAATAGATGATTAAACCACGCAGCACAAGAGACGTTGTATTGCCTTTGTACGGGTATGTGATTCCCGCGGCGTATACGCGTTATTAACACTCACAAATGCTTTGTTAACTTCTCAATTCGACATGCTCGACTCAATAATTACATTCATTAGTGGAGCCAAGGCAATGCAATGCTACCAGGAACTTTTTCATGAAGCAAATTAAAGAAACTAAAAACAGGAGAAAAAGAACGAAGGAGACTTACACAACCATACATACATGTGAACAAAAGTCTCAAAGGGTCTGGCTTCCTAACTTCTGAAAGTGCATTTGAATGAAGAGGTATACATTTTTAGCGATTGTCCCAGTCTAGACTGGTCCGATGATCGAGTTGAATAGATTCCTAAAAAGGCGTCCGCGCATTAACCTCAATCACCGGCACGTCACACCTTTTTTTCGTGAATCGAATGGCATACACTGCGTGCCATATTGTTGTATCTTTACAATGTTTCGCCAAACTACCAAAAATAAACACATTTTTAGAGATAAACTGAAGAGACACACTGTCCGCAAACAAACAAATTATTTATTTAATGTCCAATCTGTGCCACGATATCCATTAATGCATTGTCCGAATTAAAAAAAAAAGGGTCATTTGCGAAATTTACGTCAAACATCGTCATGTTCTTCTTTCATATTTTCCCCTCAAAAGTAGACGCACGCGGGCTACACCACAGCAGGGTACGGCAACCCTCGACAGGCAACCCCTCTGCGGACACCCCAAGTACCACCCCTCTGCGGACACCCAAAGTATACCACCGGTCAATTATTGTTTCAACTCGAAATGATCCAAGGCGATCATTTTTCTCATCAAGATAATGATCCTCCCGGAAGCGCTTGAGGCTATGTCGGGCTTTCGGGTCACACGGTGCTGTTTCAACTTGGTGTTAACAAGACAAGTTTCAGCCTGAAACGGTAAGGCTGTTTTAAAAAAGAAAACCATAAAGATTGCTCAAATGTGACAACAGTACAAACATAGCCCTCACCTTAAACCAACTGTTTTATAGATAACTTTGCTATGTCAGGATTTGAACCTGCAACATGTTTGTAAATTGTACAAGTTGTACGCCTACAAGCATTTTTTTCTATCTTACACATGTTAAACAAGTACATAATTATACATCTGGCGAAAAATGTATAAAACATCCGGCTTCACCTCTCAAAAAATACACACAAAATGATGGTTGGTTTCCCATGACACATTTTCCCCAAGGAGTTTCGGGACGAAGTCATAATTATTCCGATCTAAAATATCAAATGTGAAAAAAACCCTGTACTCGTTCCTCACGACGGCACATTGATAGCAGACGAGTCTCCTTTTGAATTATTCAATAAACGCGTTCGGCGATTCCATGTACATGCAGAGGGTTTGAAGATCCGGGGGTGGGGGGGGGGGGTGTGACGCGAACAGTCGAAAAATTTACATTTTCAATTCAGAACCAAAAGTCCGTAAAACAATTTGTTTTGCAGTTAAAGCAAAAGAGGAGTCCGATCAAAATGATACCGAAGTTCTCCATGCAATTTTATGTCTGTGAAATTTACCTTTAAGATGTGAGAAGCCATTTTGGATTAACAATTTAAAAAAAATCTTTCAAAAAAACAACAGACATTTTTTTGCCATTCAGCTTCAATCCTCCAAAACCGCCTGAAGGATTTTGGAAGATTGAGGAGAGTTAGGGATAATTTTTGATCAATTATGAAGCAAACCAAAAAGATCTCCTTATCTAACGTCAGTTGGCAGTACAGTTATGCGAATAATCACAATAAGTTTGTGAATAGATGAAAAAGGCAATTTCCACTTGGGTGTTGGACCGTGTGGGTCGGACCAGTTCTCGTCAGAACCATCCAAACTCCACGAAAGAATTTCATGTTTGTGCAATTGCTAACTTGCTCTCGTTGCCGTAACGTCACTGTGTAAACCTAACAAATCTTAATAAAAAGGCTTGAGACTTACCGTAGGTTTTACTGATGTAGTCTTCTTTGCATATAAACTGGTTCTCGTCCACCACGTACAGCTCTTCGCCCGTCGAGAGTTGCTTTCGGCAGACCATGCATGTGAAACAGTTCAGGTGGAACACCTTATTCCGCGCACGGCGCACCAGATCGCTGGGTAGAATGCCCAGCGCGCAACCGGCACACTTGGTCCCGTACGTCCTGGTGCGTGAAAATAGGAAACAGACAGAGAATTGTAACATGGGTCAAACTATACGATTCAACTTCTGACTAAAGAGGCTACTTCGACAACTGTAAACTCGAGCATGCCCAAAACATGAAACTGAGAAGTAAAATGTGCAAATTCCAGGCTGCACTGTGTTTTTGCCAGTTTTCATTGCAAGTCATCACAAACTGTAAAGAAATCATCTGTTGTGGTGCCAACAAGAGTTGACTTGGACTTCATGAAATGGAAGTTGTAAATTGCAATGATAAGACAGTTTACATAAAAATTAAACTTTGATGGGAAGAATAAACATTCCTTGGTGTGCACCATTCAACAGTTTTCTTTCTATCCCACAAAACACGATTAGAGTAAACACAAACATAAGAGTTTCACATACACCAAAAGAAAAGAATCTACATGTATACATCGAAAGCTCAATACTTTCGGGATTACATATCTGCCTTTTCAAAATTTTGAATATCTTTCTCTGTCCTCAACTGGGAAAAAAGATGGAAAAAGAACCAGCAAAAAGCGATGAAATTCGAGTTCCGCTTTCAAGAGAATAAAATCCATGAAGTTGCAGGTGGCACAGACTCTACAATTACAAATTGCATGAAATCACATGACACGTCATACCAGCATGGGTGCACAATTAACCAATGAGGGGACACGCCAATTAATCAGACACCTTAGCAGGTGTATCACGTGACCGGTGAGTCTCGTGTCAAAACTTTAAAGGGTGGACTAAAGCAAGTAGTTACAAAGTTAACTTTTTGGATGAGTGATACTGTCTTACTGATATAATTATTTTTCAGGGAGTTCAGCAGGTCAAGAAATATTCGATGCCTTTGCTTCCTGGTTTAACTGCCCGTGACCTCTATTGGCGAATTAAATTAGACTTTTTTTTTGGTGTGTTTAATCAATTTCAACTTTCACTTCGTGACCACTACTCGATAGTGAGTTTAGTAGTGACACTACTCACAGGGATCGATCACACAGATTGCTGGCCGATTGTGAAAAAGCCTATTAAAAATGTTACACCATGTCATGAAAATTGGATGTGGTTTGAGGCAAAACATGTACCACGGGAAAAAAGGCAACTGAGATAGCTACAAAAAAATCCCAAACAAAACTATGCATGGACATCATTTACATTTTAAAATGCAAGGGGCATCTTGTTTTCAATAATCCCAGTAACGACCAAAGTCAAACTGACTTACAACACGATTTGGACAATGCATTCGAATTGGAAGCATGATATTAAAAAAATCTTTGAAAAGTGTCATCTCGGTATGACTATATATTTTTCCCCTTTTGAGAAGCAGAAACAATAACAACAACTTACAAAGACTTGGCTGTGAATTCAAATTTGAATCATCAACGAACAGGTTTTCTTTTGACATATGTCAAATTAAAGAAAAGGACCGTTCACTTGACAAATTAATGTAAAACCACTGATGGCGTCTTTTTTTACAATGGCACGCAAGGCAGAAAAAAATCTTGGAGTGTTTTGTTCCGGTCAGTTTAGGCAATGAATTGGGTGATCCAAACTATTTTGTTTTTATTTGCTCTGTATTGTAATTTTTGCAGTGATGATATGAGAAGATAGGCACAAGCGCACACAATTCCAGTATAATATATAAACCTTTAATTGTCACAATTTTAGCTTGTTTGTGAATTCAAAAAACCCCAAAACACACGTGATTATTCCTTATCATTGTTAGCTTACAATTTCTAACAAAATTCATCAGAAAAAAATTCATTTAGGGTCCCCGGATGTAGAAATTTATTGTCATATTTGTTTTTAATGTGCATGCATGGATTTCCATTGACAAATGAACTTTTGAAAGAAACTGTAACCCCGGCCAGAAAAAAATAATTTTGTGCATAATATGAAAAATTAATGTGATCGTTTTTGTATTTTGACAGTAGGAGGTCCAACCAGTATTTTTGTCAAATTCTTGCATTATGTAATTAGTGAACCGCCATTGCATGCAGTATACATGTACACAATAGAGTGGCCAGGTTGGTCCTATTGATTGGGCTAAAAATGATTTAACATCAGCATGAAAAGCGGCTAAATGCACATTAATGAAATACAATAAAAGTTTTACAACTAAAATGACAAGGTGATAGATCTTTAGCAACGTTAACGAGGTATAATGTATACAAGACTAAGTAAGCTAAGGTCACTTACTTACAAAAACTCAGTATGTAAGGCATTAAAAATACCCGTTTTTAGAGCTTACCTGGAGAAGTCAGCTTTGCAGAAAAGTTTCCCGTCTCTGGAAAAACACTTTTCTGACAGTCTTGATTTACAGTGGCAACACTGTACACACTTGACGTGCCAGGGCCGGTCCAGCACGTTCAGGAGGTACCGGTCCAGGATTGGGCCCTTGCAGCCGGCGCACATCTGAACCATGCTGGCTGCCGTGCTCCGCGACGCTTGAGCCGGCGGGGCCGTTGTCAACGCGCGGTGCTGGTCTGGCGTGGTGACGGCGCTGGTGGGTCCACGACTGCCGGTGTTGTTGTTGTTGTTGAAACAAACTGCTCTACTTCGCTTCGCCGTTTTGGATGAAGAAAACTCAAATGGTAGCCGTTAGGTATACACACTATGTAGACTGTAGGCACGGCTGGCTTCTTGCGCTGTTCTCACCGGTAACTTAAAAAAAAATCCCAAATTGTTGTCAGATCTTTCGGTAGTTGGCCAAGACGGTGACTGTAGTCATGTGGGGTGTTGTATGGGACATTCCAACGTGGGGCTTATCTTGTTACACACACCGTCGAATGCTGCTGGTTGTTTGGCACTACCTCCGGTGTGACGGTTCGTGGTCGTCACAGACCAGTTGTGGTTAGTTCAGTTTACGGGGGACAATACACATTGTTGTTGTCACCTCTCCTTGCCAGATGTATTGCCTTTTCCCGAAAATATAACAGTTAGTATCGACTGTGAAAACAATTCATAACTTGTGCAACTTCGCTTCTCTCGAAACAGTCATACTCATAGGCAGAAAAAGAATGTGGATGCTAAAGGGATTTTTGTAAAACTTGTACTTGATGAGTTAAACCTTATGTTTTTACTCTCTAATCCTTGAGTGTTTCTGAAATGTCCTGAGAAAAGTGACTTGTGGTTTGACCGGTTGCAATATATCCAACTCTTATTGAACAAGACTGAGTCTTGTAAGTGTAGTTGAGAAGCAATCAGTGTTTGTCCACGCACTTGTAAATCACACAGCCACTTCGTCTTGACATCTGCTGCACGTGTGTTTACTTCACGGGCTCTTTACAACCGCACTTCGCTCGAGAGTTCCCGGTGTCGACAAGAAGAATTCTTTGCTCAGTTAGCTCCAAGGAAAGTCCTGTTGCAAGTAATAGGCATTGGTTGTGACCACGGTGGCTGGATGTGTATCTGTCTGTTTACCAGTGCTCACTGCGAAATGTTTACTAGCGCAGTCAGATCATGGATATCACAGACACTCCTATGAGGAGGGACATAGGTTCTCTGGCCAGCAAGCTATGCCGGGTTCCATGTTACCCTTTCATTTTTTACTACCTTTCCCTCACAGCTGAGCGAACTTATGAATGCCAACGTACGTCACTGACAGCCAGCGCCGGGGTGGCCAATCAGAAAGCGCGCTCGCGAGCGGTCCCCGCCGGCGGCCTATGCCACACACACTGAGGCGATGTCGACAGCTGGGCCAATCAAGGGTGGTTGTTGAAGTAGGCTCCTCCCTTTATGCTAATACTCGGAGTGAAAGTGTTGCACTGATGGAGGTCGGCGGTCCACGTGTGATGTATCGCTTTGTACAAACAGAACCAAGCGGGCCCAAGTTTAGGCTTGGAATCCATGAATGGGAAGAAATACTTGACATCTTTTAGAAGGCGGAGCGTTCACTAACAGGTTCAGGTTGGTGTTGCATTCTGTCAACACTTACTGGGGCGTTCTTCAATGTAGGATTTGCAACAAATGTTACAAACAGCACAAATCTTGATAGATCTTACTGTTCCTGGAATATTACTAATCGACTTTTGCCTCTGAATGGGAGAAATTTATAATTGATTAAATCTGCGTCGGATAAATTAAAGTCACAGGGAAATACCAGCTGTTTGGGTTCTAATCAGCTCAATTATTAAACATTTAGTTTTTTTCAACGAAACAAGGACTCTCTGAAAAATTGTAAATCGTGTATCGATTCTATTTTTTGACCTTTGCTCTATAATTCAACAATCTACTACAAACTGAAGTCACAATGAATTTCAACAATATCATGCGTACTAGTTTGTTGCATATGTTAATATGATTACATTTTGATATGATTTGATAATGATTACATTACGTAGAGCCATGCATCTACCTCTGTCTGATCACTACTGCTATGAAGTAAAAACAAACCTCTGACTATACTATCAATTATTCTCTATGATTTCAAAAACACTCATTCAAGAATTACTGCAAAATTGACATCAAATTTACTTGTTGATTTGGGAGCGCTATTATTGGCAATATATACATGTACATGAACGTGAAACCGAGAGTGGTAGTGGCCGAGTTAAACCGCTGCCGCTGAGGGCGTCTGTCACAATGGACCGTGCTCGAAATTCGTAGTGCGAGTTGGACCGAGTGCATCGAGACATAATGTGCATTGGGTATGTTGGGCATAACAAATTCGCGCCGGATTTATCTTTAAAAAATGTGAGATGTGATGTGAGATAAAATGTGAGGGGAGTCAGAATGGCGTAGCGGTACTTTCCTCGCCTTCCACCGCTGTGACCCGGGTTCGAATCCCGCCTGGGCCAATATGTGGATTGGGTTTTCAGTCCCTGCCTGATTCCGTGGGTTTTCCCCAGAATATTCTTCTGGGCTTTTCCTCCCACCTATAAAACTGTAACTTCTTCTCATTGTCTTCTCTCCACAGGTTTCTTCAGGCTTGCGAGCTACAGTGCCTAGGGCGCTATTGAGGAATCCTTGGTTTCATTACCAAAAATGATTAATAATAATAATAATAATAATAACAGAAAGAGAAGTTGAAGAAATAGAATGAAAAGAGCAGAGAGGAGGGGAAAAAGAGCGAACTGTCAAGAAATTCCTCAACGTACTGAATCATGCGATGTCAGTGGCGGATCTGCGCGGCCGGCTGCAAAACAAATTAGGAAAATCATGGGAAAAGTACCAGAAACATGCTAACCTACACCCCTCCCTTGACGGCTATACCCCAGCCAAAGCTGGATCCGCCCCTGAACGTAGCCAGCAATCAATGAAGAAAGAAAGATGCAAACATGTTACATTTTTTACATTGAAGGAATATGTGATAACTGCAAGAGTACGGTGACATCTTATCTTTTTCTCTAAATTGCCTGTGGAATTCTGTATGACAAGCCAATGCGTTTGATCCATTAGATATAACGCTTCAACTGCAAATCAAAGTCCATTTTATCATCATAATAAAACACCTTATCACCTCCCTCGATGATTATAATATAAAAGGCGAACCAACTCTTCCCTTTTTCCGGCCAAATGAGATCAGTAGAACCAGCTCCTCTTTTATACGCAAATGCTATGATCCAATTAAAGACCATCATCTACACGCATTTACCTGCCCTCACTTAATTCAATTATTGGGGTCCTTTTCACTGTCAGCGCATTTTGTGGTCGGGTGCCAGGAAGCGCCATTCACACCTTATTGTTACCGATAACGCGTTAAGTGGGGGATAACCGTGGCGTTACAGCTAACATGGAATATCGATCTTGATTGTGGGCCTGGTCAAGTTTGCTTGAGCGGTGTCTTTGATTGCTTATCTCTCCCCTCCCTCACTCCCCACCTACGTCACAGCCTTACTCATCAGCCAAGAAAGGAACGCAGCTAGCGCCTGTGTGTGTAGTATGGAACGCCAAAGCTACCTAATTCGTTAGGGCATTCGATTCGAAGCATTTCTTATTCCATTCGACATATCCGTCATTTAATACGGCAAATTCATCGTTCCGTTTCGGCAAATTCATCATTTGGTTCGGCAATTTCATCAACCCATTCGGTCAATTCATCATTCCGTTCGACGAATTCGTCATTCCATTTGACAAAATCATCATTCAATTGGCAAATTCATTCAGAAAATGGATAGGCCTAATTTTATGTTTCAAATTCTATTCGGCAGAGATTGGGATGATAAATTTGTCATGACTGCCGAATGGAATGATGCATTTGCCGAGTGGAACTTGAATTTGCCGAATGGAATGGTGCATTTGCCGAATGGAATGATGAACTTGCCGAATGGAATGATGAACTTGCCGAATGGAATGGTGCATTTGCCGAATGGAATGGTGCATTTGCCGAGTGGATTTGGAGTTTGGCGAAGTGAGCGATGTGAACCTTTGCCGCTCCATACCCTGTGTGGTATACATGCTGCAACACCCACCGCAAGATATCCCCACTCCATCAAAAGAAGGAACAAGTGAATAGGGTGTTGGTGGTGCTTGCTTTTGGTAAGGGAGCATTACAGATGGGGTAAAGAAAAGCCATAGAATTCGGCAACCTCACTGTTCCTCGCTTGTGATAAGTGATACGGGATCCGTACTCTGGTCTTAAACACGCCGTTTACGTATTTCTGAGAATGCCAGAATCTCTTGTAGACAATAGAGTTTTGTCAACAATCGACCATCGGGCTTTTAGCTGACAAAGGAGGTATTTCGAAATCCCCCTCACTTCGCTTTGGAAGAAAGGGCAGGACCAATGATGCACCAAGCATGCAGTGGAGAGAAGTTCAAGATAGATTTCAAGCAATCTTCCAAAGTGCGTAGAATCCGAGGTCTTAACACACCAGTTAACAGGGGTGCAAACCTATGTTCCCCAATACCTATGTTCTCCAATACCGATGTTCCCCAAAATCCTTACCCTAACCCTAAGGATTTCCAGGAACATCGGTATTGGGGAACATCGGGTAGACCCCGTTTAGAGCTAGAGACCGCCCAAAAGTGTTGTTATCTTGCATTTCAATCGCCGGTGGCTCTAGAAAATACAACGGTACATGCATGTCTCAAAATGAAAACGCTCTTGTATCAAAAACATCTTGTGAAACTAAAAACCTGGACGTGTTTCAGATAACATCATTATTTTAACACCATTTCTGGATATGTTGAAGCGCTTAAACCATCTGACCAAGGGCATCATAAACTTAGAGAGTTTATAACGGCGAGTTCAATCTAGTCTGCTGATATTTTTTTAATGAAGACACTATCCCATCAAATAGCAGCCAAACGTCGTGTTCTGGAGTTTAAAATGAAAGTCAAACTATTAACGGGACTTTTACTCTTGAGTTGTTAATGGGTAAAATGTGTAGCAGAAAACATTAATGTTACAGTGAAGACATTAGCTGACAACTAAATTTACAGAAATGGAGACGATTGATACATGCCACTGCTCAGAATTTGGAGAAGAAAATAAAAATTGTGTATTTATAGAAACTACATGTACTACCAAACCAACCGAGTGCCCTTCCAAAAAGGTTGGCCTAAAGATCTCCCCAGAAAATCATTAGACCCCGTTTAGTCCTCTTGGTACACCACTTAATATTCCAAATGTGATTTTGGTAATAATTGTTTGAAATTATACTGCTTAAAACATCACTCCATATGCATCATCATTTCATGTTAAGTGACGAAGTCACGGGTTTGGTGTGTCATTTCGGTGTAGAGAAGGGGTTACGAGGGGGCATAAGGGGTTCCTAATCCGATCTGCACACACGCTGCGTAAATGCACGCTTCTCAAGTGGCTATAACTACGGCGAATTGAGCTGATTGTCTCCACTAAGTATCCACTAAGCCTGTCATGCAAGTCACTCCGAGTAAGAGGAAGTAAATCGACAATACAAAATGGGGAAGAAAAAGTCTGAACATTTCTCGCATTTATGTGTTGCCGGAAAACAAAATATATTTCACAATTATTTTGGTAAAAGATGACAAAGTGAGCTCTAAATATGAGTGTATGAACATTGTTCTAGGAAAGTGCCCCTGTACTGCTAAGCTTGACAATAAACTCGAACGGTTTATTACTTAACGGTTTAACCAGATCTACGGAGAAGGAGGGGGTGGGAGGGGTATGGGTCCGAACCCTTAAAAACTTGGGCCGCTAACCCCCCTCCTTTTGCCAAGGTTGAATACGACCCCTGTATACCTATAATGACGAAGCGAAGAGTTCTTGTTTTGCAAGTGCAGCCTCGCTTGTGTTTTTCCATGGCGAGGCCCATGCAAAGGCGATTGTTGGTCAGTTTTACACATGCAGTGATTCGTTGCTAGCCTTCCAACTATTATGTTAACCGTTGCAATAATGTACTGAAACTACTGCAAAGAGTGCTTTTGTCCTCTACAATATCTTCTCTGTCTCACAAGATGACATAACAGTTGTTCTATTTCAGTATAATGACAATACTGAGTCCAAGGAAGGTGGTTGGGGTGGCTAACCCCCCTTCCACCCACACATTTAAATTATTTTCATAATTAGAGTTCCCTGAAGTACGTCTTCAATCAATTTTGGAACTCTTGATTCATTGCTTCGGGCCTTTGGTCTTGTT